TATATACATGGTTGGTGAAAGCTGCTGTTGTTTACAGTCTAATTTGAGAGTCTCCAGTGGTGACCTGCATCCCAAAGCAGACATTACACCCTCCCTGGTGTAAAAAGCTTGCTTCACAGGTGGAGCGGGCGGTGCACACCGTGCAGCTGCCATAATCACCACACAGACACCACTGCTCTATTTCCCGCTGTGTGTGTGGATGCAAGTAACCCAGACAACCTGACAATGTACACAAATTAGAGGCAGAGAGGAGGAAGAGTATGATTAATGGTTCTCAATAAGGGCATGCCACCAGGGGGGTGGGGGTGTGTGGGTGGAGCAGCAGGGCATACAACTCCCAGGGCTTTTCTGAGACAAGGAAGAGGTGAAAGGAAAAGTGGCCAATTTAAGAGCTGAGGGATGTGATGGGGGGCATGCAGAGTGAGAACACATGCTATTACACAATTCCCACATTCAGGGAGGCGTGGGTCATCTTCTGCTCATCACAGCACTTTTACACGTGCTCAAGTCAACCTGCTCTTCTCATTATATCAGATGAGAAAAGTGAGAATATCATTAGCTTCTGTTATGATAAATAAGAGCAGCTCATATCTGAGGATTCCCACATGCTCCACCTTTTCTTTAAAAAACACCTTCTTCACCTCCAAACTGGACGTTTCTGTTTTCTGAACTGGGGGAGATGTTACAGTTGAATGTTTTGCTCATTATGTCCGACTGAGCTATTTTCTTTTTTTTATATATATATATCTGGGACGTGTAACTTTTGATGCCAAGCAGACACAGATTAGAGACGTGCTTCTGCAGTTCGGGACCCCCCCCCCCCCCCCCCCCCCCCACACACACACACACACACACACTCCCACCCCCCTCTCCTCCGCTGTGGACCATTCCTGCGCTCCTCCACATCCAGACGAGGTGTGAGCTGCAGCGCGCGGCACCAGGCGGACCAGAGCTGGCTGGTGTTTGGATGCGCAGCGGAGCGCACGCACGACTCACGGACTCCCCTCAGCGCAGCCCTTGAACACAAATGGATATTTACGTGGCTCTGGTGTCCTTGTTCTTTTTTACCAAACCAGGTGAGCACGAGGGCATCTGATTGCGCATACTCGTTTTATTAGAACTTGAGCTTCCTGACATTGTGCACGCTGTTTAAAGTCCAATTTGCGCGTAAGCAAGTTGGAAAAAAAAAAAAAAAAAAAAAAGAAGCTGCATGAATTTGTGATCGCGCGTGGGTTAACACAAAAAAAAAAAAACCCTGTTAGGATCCAAGAGATGCCACCTTGTACCTGCACCTTTGACGTGCCCGTGGGGAGCACAGGTGATGGCTGCGGGCAGGAGATGCGGTACTTTGATTTTTATAGTAGGGATGGAGCAGCAAGAAAGCAACTGCGCAGCTTCCTCCACAAGGAAACCTACACTGTCTGTTTTTAGAATGGATAGTGAGAATGTTCAGCATGTGTCCTCTCACATTGTGTCTCCTCCAGCTTTTGCTTCCGGACCAGATCAAGATGACCAGCTGGATATCATCCGTGAACTTGACCTGGCAAACGCCACCTACGGGATTACCCAAGTGTCAGGGCTCCACAACGGCAGCAAAGCCTTCCTGTTCCGAGGTAAATGATCCCGCTGCTCAAGTTCACGCACGTTCTTCCGCTCCTTGCTTGTGTCCGCGCGGCGCACGTGCGCACGCCCTTTGTTCCGTTCATTAGTGCGAGCAAATCCACGCTGCGCCACACCTCTCCGTGTCAGAACATTTCCAGGGATGCTGGGATAGACAACTCCAGGGGAGCGCGCGCTCAGGATCACTCCACATGTCATGTGTCAGAGGCAGCAGCGGCTCGGGGGCTGTTGGACCCACTCAAGTCGCTTCCTGCGTCCATTGTCTTTTTATTTAGTGATTCTTTCTAATGTGTTATGCCAACAACTGGTGGAGGTGGAGGTGGAGGCTATCAGCTGTGTTTCATTGTGCAGACTTTGAAGGGTGCACAGCGTGTGCTGGGATTGTTCAAAGCATGAAAGGAGAGACAACTGATGCGCAAAACAAGAGAGCAAAATGACAGTATTCTCATAGTCTGAGGAATCTGAGAAGTTTGGGTCGCTGTGCTTTAGAGAGAGAAACAGCTCGTTTGTCACAACTTGTTTCTTCCTCTGGTGGAACTGAAAGTAGAGGCAGAGTTGTCGGAGAGTAATAATAATAATATATATATATATATATATATATATATATATATATATATATATATATATATTTTTTTTTTTTTTTTTTTTTCATTTAGCCTTTATTTATCCAGGTTAGTCTCATTGAGCCACGAGAACTCATTTTCAAGAGACCTGTTTTAGGGAGCACATGGTGGGGTTAAGGGCCTTGCTCATGGGCCCAGAGTGGGGCGAATGAGGGTGGGGGCAAGTTTGGGTGTTTCACCTACCCCACCCACAAGAGAAGAGAAGAAACGACATAAGAAGATACTTTTTCTAAGTGATAGGATGCTCCAACAGACACACAGATCAGATAAGACTGAACATTTTACAGTTAGTTTGTGCTTAAATGTTGCACAGTCTTTTGAAGCAGAGCCTTGTTTCTGTTTGCCCCACTCGTGGTTGCTCAAACTCTAGAAAAATAGCCAACAATGTAAAGGAGGGCATGCTTTAAGTCTTTCTCACTTTTCCAGCATAAGCCTATTTTAATACAAAGTTCCTGGCAGAAACCGTGTACAACCAGCAGCCCTGGGTGCTGCGACTCAAATCAAGCTGAAACGTACATAAAGCACAGGGTGATGCTCTGTCTGTGTGTGTGCTTTATTTTCTGGAGTACTTGGCTTCTAATGCCGCTGGCTCTAGATGAATGAAGCCTGTGCAGCTGCTGTCCAAGACTCAGGGCTGGAGGCCTTAAGGAGTACACCACCATCCATTTGACTTGATGCACAATCAAAAGGTCTCCTACTGTTTGCAGTGACCTAAAGTTGGATGCAGCATATAATTAGAATGGGAAGCAGCAGGCTGCTTCATAAAGAAAAATAAATAAATGGGAAACTGGACCTGCTTGTGCTGTGACCTATTTAATACTCTGGTTGCTGCTGTCCTGGCTGTGTATCCCAGATGGCTCCACTGAGTAAACCAGCACTGGTTTGAGTTCAAAACAAATGAGAGGTTGGTGTTTTACTGGGTTTCAACATTCAGTCTTTGTCTGAGCATGCTAGAGGTGCACTGGTGGGTATGGTCAAAAACTACTTAGTATGATTTAACTGGCACAGTGGAGCAGTGGTTAGAAGCATTTACTCACAGCAAGAAGGTCACTGGATCGCCTCCCGGTTTGGGATCTTTCTGTTTGAAGTGTGCATGTTCTCTCTGTGCATGCGTGGGTTTTCTCCTGGTACTCCAGTTTCCTCCCACAGACCAGGAACATGCATGTTAGACTGATTGGTAACTCTGAATTGTCTCTAGGTGAGAATGAGTGAGTGAATGGTTGTTTGTCTCTTTTGCCCGTTTTCCACCATTCCTGCTCAGCTCGCCACGGTAAGAGCACTATTCCACCAGTACTTTTTAGCTGATTCGGCTCCTTTTTTTTGTCCCTGCTTCTCTGGTGGGACGGTTCGAGCTGAGTCGGGACATAAGCGTGACGTCAGAACACTGTCGGTCACAGATTGGTCAGGGGGAGGAGTCACTGGACCTCAGAAACTTTTCACCGATCCTCCATTTGTAATTTCTCGGAATGCGGAGCAGCGGCTGGATCTATTTTTAAGATTTTAAAAACAATAATGACAACACGGTGTTTAATGCTGAAGTCCAGGCGTTTTTTGAGTTTGGTGACGACAAAATTCTAGCGAGCGGAGTCATGTGGAGGATCATACGAGCTGCAGACCTGTTGAAGCACGCCAGGCCGGACCCTGAGCCCCGGCAGGCGGGAGGACCGGGACGATGGGTGGAAATGTTTTTTTTATTTTTTACATTTTATGTATAAAAAAATATATATTTTTTAATCAGTGAAGAATAAAAATAAATAAACAACGCCATTTTTTTTCCCTTTGACTTTATTAAATAATCTATTAAATAAAGTTAACTCAACTGAAAAATCATAAAAAGACAAAATTATTGGATCACTCAGGAATATTTCCCACAAACATGTTTAAAGAAGAGACACAGCCTTTAGTTGAACTTTATTCTAACCCACAGATGAACCAATCACAAAACAAGAATTACGCTTTAAATCACTAAAATAAAATCTGTATACAAGGAAAAAACACATATCTAAAAAATGCACAATAAAAGCAGACACAATGAACGCAAATACATCAAATTATAAAGAAAAATATAGAATTTTAAATATAGTTGTTTTTGTAGAATCTGGTTCATCAGATTTAATTCAGTTTATTTATATATTAGCAACAAGTCACAACAGAAGTCGTCTCAGGGCACTGAACAGAAACATTCATATTTAAAAATAATAACATTATTTATCAGAGGAGCAGACTGATTTGAGTTTAAATCATTGCAGAACTCTCACTCGGTGAACTAAAGTTCATTAAAAGTTCATTAGCAGGATTTTGGATTCTGGACACGCCTCCAGAACTGGTCCTGATGTGTGGTGGAAATCAGGCTGATCTGAGCAGGACTGAGGAGGAGCAGTGGAAAAGGGGCACATGTTTCTTTGTGATGGACCTGAGATGTGTCCAGGTGTCCTCCGCCTCTCTCTCAGTAACTGCTAGGCAACAGCTCCTCTGTGACCCAGGAAGGAAAAGCACCAAAAAAAAAAAAAAAAAAAAAAAAAGTGGATGGATGAGTAGTTTTGCTGCCACTGTTCTTAAAACTGTTATTTTGTTAGTTTGAAAACCTAAATCTTGGAGGAAAAGCTAATGCTAATGGAGTAAGTGAGGAAAAATCAATGTTCATTTAATGCTGATGTAATATATATGTAGATGAACATATTCTGTGATATATTCATAAATTAAACGGATTCATTCATTTTTCTGGACTGAATAATGTCGTGCATTGAATTTAATAAAATGTATCGTGAGACGTTAATTTTCTTTGACCCATCAAATGAATGCGGTCATTTATTTACAGAATCAAAGTTTAACATCACACATTTACATTAATTTGGCAAATTGAAAAATAACAACATGGCTAATTTAGCAAGTTTTACAAGGAGGAAACCATACGGCGATGGTTTCCCTTGCTTCCAGCTGTACAACAGACATTTCTGAAAATATCTGGAATGATTTCTAGCAGATTGAAGAGTTTAAAGATGGAAAATGAAGTTTATCTTGAGAGAGATGGGTGAGGGAATTTGTCTGTTATAACCAGAACAACACGCTCCTTCTAGACCCAGTTTAACCAACGGTACACTTTGCGGTTGAAGATCGACTCTTTTTACCTTGGCAGAGGATAATTCCGACTTCGGTGTAGAGTTGCCTTCAAACGCTCTCCAGCGTCTCCGTAAGGATAGTAGGGAACCGTTCGGAGTCGTGAGATCGTCCAGAACAGACTTCATAGTTCCTCTGAACTTCTCTCGTCCAGCTTAGTTGCAGATGTCCTGAGCATTCTGCATTCCAGCATCCTGAACTCTGCTGCTCTCGGAACCAACTCACAGCATTCTCTCAGCATTCTCCTCAGCGTTCTTCCCAGAACCACTGAGAACTTCTCAGAACTTCTGAACTGCTCAGAACTGCTGAACTAACAGTGAACTAGGAAGTGTTGCACCTTTTAAAAGAGGTCACTTCTTAGTTCACTACATATATATATATATATATATATAT